TAGCCCCATAGCCTTCTCCACCAACTGTTCGAGCCGCAAACATGTCTGGCAGCGGGGTACGCCAGCCCGAGCTATGCAATGCCCAGGACATCTGATGCTAACACGATCCTCAGGCACGAGAGGCCGTCTTCGCGACGCGGCAGTCGCTGGGTCTGATGAAGGGCAAGCTCAAGGGCGCCCAGACCGGCCACGACCTGCTGAAGCGAAAGAGTGAGGCCTTGACCAAGTATGCACTCGCTGTCTCCAGTCCACTCGTGAAGCTTTGCTGACCATGTGCAGGCGCTTTCGAGGTACGACTACGCTATATGCACCCCCACCATCTGCCTTTGTAACTGAAACCGTTTCCAGAAATAACGCGCCGTATCGATGAGGCCAAGCGCAAGATGGGCAGGGTCATGCAGGTCGCGGCTTTCTCCCTCGCCGAAGTTACCTACGCCGTCGGCGGCGACATTGGCTACCAGATTCAAGAATCCGCAAAGCAGGCCCGCTTCCGCGTACGAACGAAACAAGAGAACGTCTCCGGTGTCTTCCTCCCGCAGTTCGAAAGCTTCACTGTCGAGCAGAACAACGACTTCGCCCTGACGGGTTTGGGCAAGGGTGGTCAGCAAGTACAAAGATGCAGAGAGACGTACGCAAGAGCGGTCGAGACTTTGGTGGAACTGGCTAGTCTACAGACTGCCTTTGTCATTTTGGACGAAGTTATCAAGGTGGTCAACCGCCGTGTAAACGCCATGTGGGTATCCTTTCCTTCCAGACAACTGCCGAAGCTAATAGCCAACAGTGAGCACGTCATCATCCCCCGTACCGAAAACACCATTAAATACATCAACTCTGAGCTTGACGAGCTCGACCGAGAGGAGTTCTACCGCCTGAAGAAAGTGTCCAACAAGAAGCAGAAGGATGCTGCCGAGGAGGAAGCCGCAAGGGTGGCGGCGAAGCAGAAGAACGAAGAGACGGAGAGTGAGGCGCGAGAAGATGCTGCCGAGAGCAAGGACATGCTGGGCGACGAGGACAACGAAGATGTCATCTTCTGAGCGCTCTACAGGCGACTAGTAGGGCCCGTCCGTGTAGTGTCGCCTGCGGCCCATTGGGCGCTGGATCCACCTCTCTAGCTCTCGCTCGCCAACGTCTCGCATGTAGACATGCACCTTCCAGAATGCTGATACCGAGTCCGTGGTCCAGGTTCCGTTTGGCATCCCGCGCGGGGCGTTTTCGACCAAGCTAAATAAGAGATAAGCATTATGCCATTTAATGTGAACGTTGGCCTTTTGATAATAAGACTCTATTGTGCCGGCCTGTATCTGTGCCGAACAAGGTATCATAAAATGCATAAATCCATAGCAATAATCCATACGCAGTAACCTACTGTTGCCGCTGGTAGGTGACTTTCATAGGCTTGCCCTCTGCGCCGATCGGGGTGTTGGCCGTCGATTCTTTCGCTGTGATCGCAAACTGCTCGTTCTCGAACTCCGCAAAGGCCACAGCCCTGACCGAGACCAAGCGCACTTCCTTGAAGCCTTCGAAACGCTCGAAAATCGTCGTGAGGTCGTCCTCGTCGACATCGCGGGGGATGTTCTGCAGGAAGAGCGTCTTGTTGGGTCGTACGTATTCGTCGGGAACAGCGGCTGCTCCGGTTTTGGCTGCGCGAGGCTTCTCGGCGGCGACTGGGTTGGCTTGCGCTTTCGCGTCTTCTTCGGCGCGCTTGAAGTCTATGGCAGTCAGTATGGAGCACCCTCAGAAGTGGTAGGAGATGCGCACCCCTAAGCGTCAGGCGCTTCCGCTTGTGATCGTCGAACAGTTCCGGCGCCTTTCGCTTGACTGTCTCGTCGCTGTGTGTCTTCGCCCTGTGCACCTTCATGACCTTGCCGTACATCTCGAAGCCGTTCATTTCCTCCACAGCCTCCAGTGCAGCCTTCTCGCTGTCAAAGACAATAAATGCCTGTCCCTTCCGCTTCAGACTGCTCTTTGCGATAACATCCAGGATCGGACCGTAGTATTGGAAGACCCGTGTCAAGGCTTGCTTCATGGTATCGATCTTGACGCGCTCCTCGAGGTTGTTGACCTAGTGCTGTCAGCAATCGCGCCACCGAGTGCAATGTGAGTGCGTTGCTGGCGCGCTCGTGGTCCAACTCACGTATATACTATATTTCTCGATTAGCATCAAGGGGACCTACCTTTTGGGCATGATCTTGCACTTACGTTTCGATGGGCACTGGGTATTTGCTGGGGTCTACGAGACCGCCGCCCATTACTACGCCCTCCATCTTGTCCGCCATCTTGAAGCGACTGTTGTGTGGGTAGTGGAGTTGTATGGCGTGGTCTCACTTACCCGACGAAGCTGTCGGGAGCTCGAATTCGAGATCCGCGCCAAGCACGCTAGGCTGCGTCCGCACGTGACGACGAACACCAGGCCCTGAGGAGTTTTGCACCTGCAGACAGCTATTCAAGGGTCGACACACAATATACCTCCAACGTCTTGAAATTCGCGAAAGCTATCACTTCTTGTCACCAAGCAGTCTGACACTATTATCGCTTCTCGTAAGTTGTAAGAGCGTTATGGATGGCCGAAGGTGTATGATTTGAGCCACCCCTCATTGTGCATTGAGCGCGTTGTTCTCTTGCCGCTGACTGCTATCGACTCTCCCTACCGATCACTGAGGCACTTAAAAAAGGCGCTTACATTCTTCATCATGAGTACTGACGTCAGCATGCGTCTGAGCTGATGAGGCTCGTGCGGAAACTTCTGCCAGATGCCTTTCCAAAACTGACAAACATCAATTTTGCATCTCGTCACGTCGTCGATTTCCAAACTATCTTTGCAATGCCACCACCAGGATTACGATGGCGATCGCACCCATTTTTCATAGTCTTCACTGTGGGAATGGGTGCGTTCGTGGACCTTTTCTTGTACGGGCTCATTGTGCCAGTACTGCCGTTCCTGTTGAAAGACCGCATCGATCTACCTGACTCTCAGATCCAAAGCACGATATCAAACCTTCTAGCAGTCTATGCGGCAGCTTCCTGCATATCTTCACCCATCGCAGGCTTCCTAGCTGACAGGTTGTTTTCGTCTCGAAAGCTACCTTTCCTCCTCGGGTTAATCCTATGTCTACTTTCGACCATTCTTCTCGCTCTCGGGCGTAGCGTCGCCGTTCTGGCCATTGCACGATTTCTCCAGGGAGCATCGGGAGGTGTCGTGTGGACCATCGGCCTTGCTATCTTGGTTGAGACCGTAGGCCGCGAGAATTTGGGCAAGACTATGGGAACTATCTTCAGTTTCATCTCAGTTTCCACCCTTGTCGCACCTATTGTCGGCGGTTCATTGTACGCGAAGACTGGATACATAGGTGTCTTTGGCGTGGCCATAGGGTTGATTGGCATAGACTTCATTTTGAGATTGCTCATGGTGGAGAAGAAGGTGGCTGAGAAATACTCTACTCCGGAGACACATGCCTCTGAACCGGATCGGAGCAACGAACAACAAGATACGGAACAAACCCCCCTTCTACCAAATGGTCCTTCTCCGCTCGATCGCTACCGTCTCTCCAAACCATCGAATCGCTTCACCCGCAATCTTCCCATCCTCATGCTGTTTCGCCATCCTGGTCTGCTAACCTCCATGTGGATTGGATTTGTGCAAGCTCTTCTTCTTGGTTCTTTCGACGCTACTGTGCCGTTAGTAGCTTCGGAGCAACTAGGTTTTGACAGCCTGAAAGCTGGATTGCTCTTCCTACCATTGGGTGGTGCAGATTTCCTGCTGGGCCCAGTCTTTGGCTGGTGTGTCGACAACTATGGCACGAAGCCAGTATCAGTCTTTGGATTCATTTGGCTGATACCAACGCTTGTATTACTTCGACTTCCGACTGAGTCGAGTATCATCGAGAGATTAGACAACGGTCACATCATCGCGCTCTATTCTGTATTGTTAGCGATGAACGGACTCGGTCTGGCGGTTATCAACAGTCCTAGCATTGTCGAATCTGGAACTATCGTGGAGAATTACTACAAGGCGAATACAGACATGTTCGAGCAGGCTCCATTCGCCCAACTCTACGGCATCAACAGTATGGTGTGGAGCGGTGGGCTGACTGTAGGCCCACTGCTGGCTGGGTATCTACGAGATAAGATTGGGTACGGCAACATGAACGCTGTGCTCGCTGGTATCTGCGCCTTCACGGCAGTCTTAGCGGCACTGTTCATCGGTGGTAGAGAAAAGGATCAGGACGCGTCTAGCGAGAATGTAGAGTGAATTACATTTCGTATTTTTGAGTATCATATTGTAGCATTAATACACCTTCTCTCGTTACGCAGCATAACCATCGTTCAGACACTCGAGCTGATCAGCCACGATGTCTGCTGAGAAGCTTCATCCTGCCGGCCGATGCTGATCAAGCTATTGCAACGCCCTAGTTCTGGCCGCAAGTACAGTCGTCACCCGAGCCGCTGAAGTTCTTTCCACAATATCCACAGCGGGGACCGTTTGTAGAAGCAGTATTGCAGGTGGTAGTTGACACTGTAATAGTTTAGCAGAAAAGCAAGGCAGTACAGCTCAATAGGTACAATACGTACTGACTATTTTCGTTGTTATAGATTTGATGGGAAGGCTGTATGTTTGTGCTTTTGGCTGTGCAGGTGGGTCGGCGATGCTAATACTATATAGTTGCTGTGGTATTGTGTCTTTGAGGGGTTGTGGTGTCGAGGAGCAGACCGATGCCTTTTATACTGCATAGCACACGTAAAGACTTCCATGTCACTTCCAGACACCCTGGAATCCGGCGAAATACTTCAAACCTTACTGAAGCCAGCGGCTGTCAATACAGCGTAGTATCGACGAACGACAAGTGACTGGGAACTGACAGCTGCAATGCAGGGGATTGATCAAACGCCATGGTAGACTCTGGACGGGCTCTATATCTGATTTGCATGCCAAAGGCGTGGGGTGGCATTCAACTGGCTCTAAATATAGCTGCCTGACTCTCTGCGGTGCTTTCTCATGGTTCTCATTTCTTCCCAAGATCCTTCAGTACTCGTTGTGTAAGCTCATCGTTATCTTCCTTTGAAAAAGGACGCAAAGGTCGCTCCATACTGTCCCCAACAGTCTTGGGTATCCAACCTTCTAGCACATTGTCACTTTGCTCCAAATTCTCCCTCATAAGCCACCGGCGACGAATCTCCGCGCTGATACCGGTGTTCTGCCTGGCGCTGGACTCAGCGATGAGATGCACGGCTTTGACCAGCTTTTCGGAAGCTCCTCCGCCTAAAATCATATGGGGTGTTTTCTTCTTGAACATGAGATAAAAGTCCAAGTGCTGGTTGCAGTTACCTAGTGAGATGTCTTTGACAGCTGTTTCGAATGCTGAAGGGAAGAAGCCCGCCATTTCCCAATCGATTATAGCAGCGAGCTCGTAAAGCAGGCCATCTTAGGCTTGCCATCTTCTTACAAGCAGGTTTCGTGGTTCCAGGTCGTTGTGTGAGAAAACCACGTTTCCGTTGAGGGTTTTTAGATCCTGCTCTGAAAGGTGGATTTCACCTAATGCTGGTAACGCGGATTTGATGATAACACCGTCTCCGTCTAAGGACACCTCTATGCTGGAAGTAGCACAGGTTGGGTCTTGATGCTTAGCGATAAATAATGTGAGGAACTCGCGAATATCCTTAGCGAAACCAATTCTTGCACTGCCGAATTCAAAAGCTTGAACAACATTTACCGGACTTGTATCGGGAATAAGCCATCGAGCGAGTTTACGCGGCTCTCTGACGTCTTGAATTGCATCCATAGCATTGACAAGATCATCGACCAAGAACGACTTTTGCGCGAGATCAAGGGATGGCCAAACAGATTCCAGCGTCACAGTGTCAGTCACAAACTCAGTAACCGTGTAATCCACATTCTTTTTGTCTCCCGTTACTGCCTCCCCAAAAGCGAGTTGTTTGGGAACATATGTTCGAATTTGGACGGCGGCTGCCTCTTGAATAGCAGAAACGATGGCGAGTGACCCACTTGACGCGTCAATCCGGACGATGACAGCGGGGCTGTTTTCAAATTCTGCCTTGAATGTGCAGTTGGTGAAGGAGTTGGCCAGTATATCGATTGAAGTTGGTTGCGATTCAGGGAAGATTGTCGAAATGACGGCGGCATCAGGAACAAGTAGACGATCATCCATCTTCTAAAGGCTATGTCTGCTGAGGTAACGGAGGAGAATGTATGTCGTGCGACAAGGCGGTTCTTATATCGTGGCGAAGCCCCAGTGACCCACGTCATAAGCGTAGCTGGCGTGTTTGTCTGCCCCTTCTGACCTGTCAAGCCATTTGTTTGCTCTACACCATGCTAGGTACCCCAAAACCCATATCCTCAAGAAAAGCCGATGGGTCAGCAAAACTGGCCCAATCATCGAAAGCTGCGAATGAACCTGATGCAGATGTCGTTAAAGCCTCGACAGGGGCGAAAGGAGCTGCGTACGATGCCTGAGATATGTCTTTATCCGTTGGCCTAGCCTCAAATGGAGGCTTGTATGCTGTCGGTATGTTTGACGCCAAGCACGAGAACTTTGTGTCATAGAAAGACTTCGCCCACTTGATCTTCGCAGACCACTTCGCAAAGGCTTCGTTCTTCAGGTTCAGGCTATCAGGATGCGCCTGCGATACAGCATCGTACCGTCGAGAAGCCTCGCCCAGAAGCGTCGAAAAGTCGACGAATTCTCTGAGAGCTTGAACATCCCAGCCGTCCATCTCTATCAGACTTGCTCGGACAAGCACAACGAATATGTACGCAAACTGCGCAAAGACGCCGAATGGAACAACAAGATAGTCCTCGACGGGTAGTTTCAGGTATATCTCTGTGTACTCTTTGGCCGCGTCCATGCATTGCCACATTCCGTCTAGTCGCTGCCGTAGGTCCGTTTCCTTGACTGTGTGGGTGGCGAGATTCCCGAATGAGCGTTCCCAGATCGCGGTTCGGGTACAGGCTTGCTGCAAACGCGACACTATCGCCGTCGCTGCGTTTCCAGATGCTAGCGCAGCCCTGTCGAGGTCGCTCAAGAATGATTTGGCATACAGTTGCACTGGAGCATGCTCGCAGTCGGTAGCCATGGCTTCTTGCATGATGCGCTGGCTCTGCGCTAGCTGTACGAGCAGAAAATCGCTTTCGTATTCTCGAGCTTGCGTTAGTACCTCGGCGCAAGCTGTATGCCATGGAGTCCAGTTAAGGTTGTCGATCTTCCGGAACGATGTAAATATCTGTGAGGTCAGATAAAATGTTCCGAGAACTGCACGTCGCTCATCGTTCGTTACGACCTTTGCCGGTTGTGGCACACCGTGCGCTTGTGACGCTGCCATCAAAGCCGCCTTCTCACAAAACCCTGGTGCGCGATCGATATCCAGGTCATGAGTGAGCGCCATGGTAAGGTGTAGAAGTACTGTGTGACTTGGTGGTGCGAAGAGATGCGGGTTATACCAGTTTCCAATCACTAGCATACCCTGTAACAGGTCGAGTGATTTCTCACCGTTGATCAACACCCTCTCGGAGATTTCTCGTATGAGGTTCTTGACCATGATCTGTTGGGCTGCTGTATCATGGAAGAAAGCTACTGTTTTGATGGCCTGTAACAAGAACGGCTTCTTGCTGACCAAGCTCGAAACATCGGTACCAGCTGGAAACACCACAAAAGGCATGTGAGGTGCCATTAGTCTCTGGTAACGATCGAATAAAATGTCCGTGTTTATTTCGTTCATCTGAAGCATCGCGTCGCGAGCAGGAGTAGTACTACCGACAGATCCAGTAGTGCTTGGAGTCATGGTCAGTGGTACCTCAAGGGATTCTTTTGTCTGCCGTAAAGCAGAAGTATGCACATCCGACTTTGTAAATGCCTCTGACGCTTGCTTGTTGGCCAGAGCTTCGGTTATGTCTGCAAGCTGTGCCTCGAGATGCTGCAATTGAGCGGACCGTCTACTTACAGTTTAGCATCGTGAACCCGGACGTTGGATGCCGCTCGAACTTGACTCACGTTATTGTTTTTGCCCTGCTTCTGCGTTTCGTTGGCTCACGAGTCTGGCAGATCTTATGAAGTCGTGTACATCTAAGAATATGTTAAGCTTTTTGAACTCGTTCAAGATAATCCCCCGGACTGATGACTCATGCTAATTGATCAGTCATGCTGTAGTCACTAACCTTTCGCAGTTGCTGCTCTCAGAACGCCTCACACATTTGCTCTTCGCCTTCGCACAGACTGCACACGATCCATGCTGTGCATGAGTCGTGTTTTGCGACGTGGCTGTTACTCCTTCAGATTCTTCGTATACTGAACTCATTGCGACTAGGATGTAGCAGTAAAGTATTGAGAACTCGTAAAGTAAGAGTGATGATGAGGACGACGAAGTTGATGGCAATAGGTAAATCAACATGGCAATATCTCCGTCCGTCTAAACTCCGAAATCTGCAGTATGACAACATCAATCTCGGCTCAACTTTCAACCGTTCAGCAGCTTCTCATGCGCTCCTCCATATCTTTTACCTGCAACGGGAAATGTTTCTTGAGCTTTTCGAAGGTCTTCCATATCCTCATTAGTCAACTCTAATAGCTTGTTGTTCAAGGTAACGCGTTCGATGTTGGTAGACCCTGGAATGGGAATCGCCCCTTGCCGCGCTACCCAAGCGATAGCGACTTGTGCCGACTTGAGGCCTTTATCCTGGGCAATCTTCTCCACGGCCTCGGCAAGCCTGTAGTTCTGATCAAACACTTCAGGCCGAAAGCGATCGAACATCTTCGGGCGAAAATCGTTGGGCGAAAGATCATCGAGCGACTTGAAACTGCCCGTGAGCCAGCCTCGACCGACCGGACTGTACGCAATCACAGGTATCTCGACTATATTGGTGTTGTCAGCGTCAGATCTTCAAAGCAAATTCTTCCGCGGAAAGACATACGTTCAGAGCATGCTTCCATGATTCCATTCTGAAGGGGATCGGGTGTGAACAGGCTCAGCTCGATTTCTACGGCTGAGATCGGGTGAACGGCATGAGCTTTGCGAATGGTGTCTGCATTGACTTCAGATAGTCCAATGCCCCCGATCTTACCCTCTTTAACCAGCTCGGCCAAAGCTTTGATGGATGTTTGAACGGGCGTGTTGGGATCGATGCGTGCTGGCATTCCATCAGTTGTTGCTACAAGATCAACTTGCCGACGTGCTCATACCCATCTCGAAGATATCAATGGATTTCGCGCCCCCTAGCCCTTCCAGAGCCTGCTCAACAGATGCGCGAATGGCCTCTGGGCTGCCTACTGGGCCTGTTCCATGATTGAAGGCGCCCTTGATGTTGACGACAACCTTTTCAGCATCCTCGGGGTATTTTTCGAAGTAGTGGCGCATCAGATGTACGGAGTTTGACTCCGGCGTGCCATAGTGAAGACCTCCGTTCCATAGGTTTGCACCTTGGTCTAATGCGGTCTTCAGCAGACTGATTTGATGCTCGCGCTCAAACTGAGGAAATGGAGCAGGAAGAGTCAAGCCTGGAGAGTCTGCTGTCAGTACGTTGCGTCTAGAATGCTCAGGCAGCGTGGGACGGACCTAACATTCCGAGCCCGACAGGGCCCACTGGCTTGCCACACACGCGTGTAGCTGCTGCTCTTCCAATACTCATGACGGGCGATAAATAGTAAAAGAAGCCTTGCAGGCTGTCAAGTTAATAGTAAGGGACGATCTGATTGAGATAGATGATACGTATGGCTGGTAACAACGACCATGCTCTTATAGCTTTATTCTGAACGGTGCTGCGAGCCACAACACCGTCCGTCCCCGTGTCTCGAGCATGCATAATTCGGCATCATTTCAATCTTATGAGAAAGTAGGAAGCGACTGTTGTTGCGCCGTTCCCGGTCCCCGTTGGATGTTTGTGTGGCTTGCTGGGGAGGGAACGGAACACTGCGACCGCGCGGTGGCAGCTTGGTGGGCAGTCGGCGCTTCGGGCGCTATTTGAACCTCCGCCCCGTTCGAGCGGCGGCTCAGCACCCACCTAGCACCCAACCTCAACACACAATAAGTACATGTTACGGCCCTCCTCAATCGCAAGCAGGTGATTCCCAAAATCAGACCATTGAGAACTTGTTGTTCTTGTCATATACCATAACCCTCAGCAGCATACTCGCAGGATCGTCATCCGCATCTGGCTTAATTACCAGATTCTCCAACAGAACGAAGCCCATATGCTGGTACAGTGGAAATCCCATCGGACTTGCCTCAAGGCCTACGTCAATGCCCGCAGCTAGAGCCTGGTCGACACCCCATTGAGTGAGCGCAGTGCCCGCACCGCGCCGACGATAGTCTGGATGGGTTGCAAGCAGAACGAGGTAGTAATTCTGAGGATACATCTTCTCCCAATATTTCGAGTGGGTGTAGTTCAGCGCTTGCTGAAAGGCGATCATGCGCTTCGGATCGCCATCACGCCGCCTGAACTCCTTTCCTATGGCCCAGTTCTCCACAAAGGTGATGTAACCTGTCATTTCTCAGTATTGTGTTCATCGAGGTTCGCGCGTGCATGCCCACAGTGTAGCGCGTTGAACACGCCCTTACTCCACAGGCCTGTCAGAGCCTGTGTCAGCATACTCTTCCCATTTCTCTCCCATAATGCGAACGCGATTATTGTCGCTACTGCTTCTCCACGATCTTCGCGCTTTTCCTTTAATGACGCGACTTCTTCAGCCACGATGAGCGTGATTTTGGGATGGTAGAGATAATGTTTGAACACTTGCAACCAAAAGAATTGACTGTCATCAGGATACTGGCGCCTGTACCTCCAGATGAATTCGAACCCCGGGTCATCAGGTAGACTAGCGAGGGCAACCGTCGTGACACGAGGGACGTCGCGAAGTTCAGCAAGCCTGACCCTGAAGGACGGTGTTGGCGACATGCTGTTTGAAGCTGGACGGGGCGGACGGCCGCCTGAGCTGGGGCGAACCCCTCATTTTATCGCTAAACAAAAGCCGCGGTACAGTACGCGGTTGGATCCATAGGATCTTTCTGCTTCTCAGGCCTGCCACAGTATGTGTAGGTGGTAAGACGGAGCTGCAGCCACCTGATTGCAAGTCCGAGATGATAGGCTGATAAGGTCCACGGAGACTTGAGGAAGGGGTGACCGCGTGCACGGGCCATGCAGCCTGCCGCTCCCCATCGATTGCCTCTGCCGCATTTTCCGCACGACATCAATGTGAAGATGTCGGTATGGGATCGACTCTCTGTTGAGCTCGTTGATGAGGTAGCGTTCTTCGTCTTCCGATTCGATACTGTAGGCTAACGAAAAGTCCAGATTTTCTCCTACCTTGCAAGGCCCGTGACTGAACCCCGGTATTCATGGGATGAGAGCAGGCCTATCCACGATTTTGATTACATATGTGGCCTCGGCGGCTATGACTACCCACATGTACTTCACCGGGAGCTGGAGATTCGGCTAGTCTGTAAAGCTTTCGACCACGCCATGACCCGTCTCTACTTCCAACATAAATATGCGACATTCCACACCTGGGAGAACACAGCTACCTCGAGACTTCAAGAATACATCATAGAAGAAGGCGCTAAGTTTGCGCCTTGCATAAAGCGCTTACGAATCATGTTGTCTGAATCAAGACTGAGCCCCGATGGATTGTTCGAAAAGAGAGACGTCGAAAATAATCCTGGGCTGGCTGGAAAGTTGGCCCTTTTGGTCGCGAACACGTCAGCCTTTGTCCCTCGGATCGAAGAGGCTGTCTCTGAATTACCAACGCTAAAACGCCTTGTTATTACGCTCGAAGAAAATTGGCGTAGCGCACCGTTGGAAGTTGATCAGCGAGACGATGAAGACTATGGCCTCAAGCTTGATCTTGACTTCCTGCAGCTCATTCGTAGCAACATCGCGAGCATATTCTCCTCGCCACGCGTACATCTTCCTTTGCTGACTTATCTTCGACTTACGCTGCCCTCAGCATACGACATTGCGATCATCGGCGCTTGTATTCAGGACGATATGGCCATGCAACTGCGACATTTGTTTTTGGAATACATCGATGGCACAGGGCCATTCGGTGATCGCGCGTACGACCTTGACGAGAGGTCTGTTAACGACGATCACGGAACCCCACTCTACTCTAACCTGCAAACGCGTTTTCCAAATACGGATTACATGGACGGCATATGCACCTTGGTGTCGCGTTGTCGCAATCTCGAATCTCTTGGCCTGAAGGGCACTCAATACTGCAACCTTGAATCGCTCATGTGGCGCCCGACCGGAGATGGGCTCAAGACCTTATACATTCACCGTGCGAGAACCCCTTCTTCAGTCTTACTTGCTCTCCTATCCCCGTCCACCAGTATCCCAGAGTCGTCGTCGAGCTCTAGAATTGTTTCGGTGGAGCTTTCAGACGTGGACCTCCACGGAAGTGCGTGGGGCACGATCTTTGATCACTTGGGATATAGTCCGCTACTCGCCTACTTTGATGTGAAGGACATTTTGACAGGGAGGAGCGACCAAGGGAGCTTAGTCAATTTGATAAGAAAGGTTGATGCTCGGGAAGGTTACTTGGGTGAGGATTTGCAGGACCTATACCGGGAGAGTTTGGACAGTTTTTTGAATGGAGAAAGTAACGGCTGAGGTTATAGAGTACATATCTGGCTTGTCCAAATACAATCTGTTCAGAAAGCTAGGGTTTGTCCCGCCTCTTTAGTAACAGCCGCTTTAACGTTCGCGCTGCCCAATAATTCGTACTTGTAGGGCAAGCTTTGCGCACTTAGTGTACCTTTGGGAGCTGTATTGGCGCTCTGCCCACCAAACAACACGTCCTCAACGACTGCATATCCATCCTCCGCGCTACTCTCCGTGTAAACCATCTTCTTGCCACTGTTCTCAAAGACCGAGCTTTGAACCAGGGCTTGCGCACCCATGCGGGTGTTCACACCTGTAGACTGCTCGTTGTAGTAATTGTTGAAGATGTGCGCTGTGCCAAATCGGAGCAATGGTCCGCGACTGTTGACGCGGTAGAAGTGGTTGTTTGCGTATGTCACGCGGAGATGGCCAGTGTCTTCGGCGGCGTTCTTGTCGGAATGACCGACTAGAGTGCCTTTGGACTGCGCTGCATTAGCCAATGTGTATTTTCGTGAAGATGAACATGAGGACGTACATGGTTGTGAAAGTAGGTGTTGGAGATGGTCACGAAGTCAGCAGCGTGCGAAAGATCGACCAGCCCATCGTAGGTGTCTTTGCCAACAGTCTCGTCACCATAGTAGTCGCAATGATCGACCCATACATTGGTGGAGAGTTGAATGGTAGTGGCATCGCCGTACTCAGCGGGTACTCTGCCGATCTTCATGTTGCGTACGATGACATTCTTCTGGCCCAGAATCGTCAGACCAATTCCAGTCAGGGCTGTAAAGTGTTAATCAGGGCTCTTGCAACTTAGAAGACTAATTGCATACAACTTCCTGTCTTCCCGATGATGGTCTTATCAGAGCCGACCTGTACTTTTGCAGCACCACTGATGGCTCCCTGAACTACGATGTTCAAAGGTCCGGAAGAGTTGGCCGCGGCCGAGAGCTGGGGTAAAGTGCTGACAGTCGTAGTAGGACCACCGGCTCCCCCCTTTGTCCCACCATTTGCCATCGCGAAACCAACATTAGCAGCATCTGTAATGCTAGCCCTCTTCTCCAAGGCTCTTGCTGGTGTGTCCTGATAAGTTGGGGTAGGCGATGCTGTGACTGCAGTCACCGCAACAAGTAGAAAGGAGGTAGAAAGCTTCATGTCTAGTACTTGGTGCGACTTGAGATGATGGTGCTTGGTCGTTCTGGCTGAACCTATGTACACGTCGAAGCTCCATTATGTATAACACGTCGGCGTTTGGACCGCAATAATTTTCGTTGATCATCTCCTTGAAGCTCAAGGAGTGGCTTGATCTCCACCGACTTCATATAAATAATGAACCCTCTTAGGTGGGATTCTATGGCGAATGTCGCCGCGGAAACGCCTGAATACTTGGAGTAACATGAATCATTCCGCGTGACCAATGTGTAGCTCGATTGGGTAGTTTGGACGTGCATCACGGCTGTGGCCGAGCGTTGGCTGATGCATGCGAAACATATCGGTCCGGAGAAACCCCTGGTTGGAGGAAGTTAGCTCAATCCGGTCACCCCAGATTTGCATCTATCTAGCATCACAATGCCAAGTCTGGGGGATATCGTTAGCTTAAGGAATGTTGCGGGGAATACAACGCGTTGATACTGTTGATCTTGAAAGAACATGCTTGTGGATGATGCGCATGGTCATATTCTGATTTTGGTGTGAGTTGACATCGCGACATCGACCCCGGCACCAGGACTGAACACGACTGCAACGATTGAGGCATCATCAATCTTCAAACCCAGGCACGGTTTTCGTAATCGGCATTAGTACCTCCAACCATGATGTTTCCATTGCCATTGGCAACCGCAAAACCAGCGCAACTGTGATCAAGTCTCGTGCAGCCGTCAATGACAGCCAAGACACTCCATGCAAGATCAATGCTATGCCATACAGATCAGATTTGTTCTGTTCCATAGTCGATTGTGCGGGGTAAAGAAGCGAAGATAAGCATACCAGTAACTACTCTCACGCTGACCCGTTGTACTTATACCAACAACAACGCCATTGAACCCGTGCCAACACACCGTTCTCGGTTCTCTACTGTCGAACTCACAGAGAGTTTTGCCGAGGATGCGAAGATAATTGAAGCAGGAAATGAGATTGTTGACGTCTGTGTAGGATCCATCTTCCGGGCCGCACACTAGTGTATTGTCTGAGGTGGCGGTTTGAGCTGCAGGGTGTTAGATGATGTCCACCTGAAAATGCGACAGGTACTTGTAAGGATACGTGCTCACCGCTGGAACCTCGTATTATTGGCCACTCAAGTAGGTCATCTGTAGTAAGATTCAGAGACGCTAGAGACGGGAAACCTGGTCCCGGGGTAAGTTCGGAGTGCACGTCTGGGATTGCCTCTGAACAGTTTCCGAGCGTCAAGAGGAAGACAATGGGAAGACAGATTCTGAAAAGCATGGTGGACAGAGAGGCGAGTCTAACATGCCAGCGCCTGAATTGGCCTCGAATATATCCTGTTACGCAATAGCTATGTTTCCGTCAACTTTACGCTATTTGTTGCCCTGGCCATGGTGTGATTGCTGCAAAACTTGATCGTCGCTTTCCTGTACACGCTGCATAGGTTAGCTTCGGGTACGACTGACATAGAAGAGTTGAACGTACCAGGCAGAATGTCCAAAAACGTTTATCAATGTGCATATCATGTGCTTGTTGCACAGGATGATAGACCGATTTCGCACGAGGTTACTGCGCGTGGGCGCTATCGATTGATAGCCATGCGGTCACAACTCATCATATGCACCTGGGGAACGCGCGTAACAGCCCGATGAAAAGAAAGACGCACAAACACGGTTACATGTGTGTCGTGACGATGTTCGGCTCCCGTGATTGTGAAAGACTGCGGTTGCTATCAACGGGTACTCTGCCGTTGCAGTCGCACCAAAACACCTTCCAAATATCCGTCCAATTGAGACGACACAAGAAAAAGGCAGTGAAATGGCGCTCGGATAGGTGTTGGATAAGAATTTTAGTAAAAGACGACGGATTCAGAAACAACCATGCGAGTGGGGATAATGTGATGCGACGTATAGATGGCTGTACAATAGATGTGATATACCAAATCAGCTCGTGCTGACAAGTGTCATGCCTCAACACAGTGACCAGGTGTATCCAGGGAAGCGATCGCTGCCCGCGGAGTAGAAAGCATTCCTACCAACCAGGAACGAGCGCCATCGCGCCAAATAACAAAACAATGCAGGTGCAGTGGGAATGCAGTGCCAACATATGTCTACCTATCTCTGCCTAGTCTTTCCTCGTAGTCATCCACCAATTCGTATGCCGGCCTAAACTTCGGCTTCGAGGCGCCTGTCCCATTCCCAGTCTGGGGTACTTGTTGCGTAGACGGCTGGCGTACGAGCTTTGGGTTTGGGTGAGTATCAGTAGTTCCACCTAATGAGGTATATCCGCGGTCGTATAGCGAGCAGTAAGGTATGTTGAGGAAACGTATAAACTGAAGAAGTCAGTAAGCAAATCATACAGTGTGTTAATTGCGCGTACGGTCCATATATCCACATAGTGCCAGTCTATGACAGGATGTATCCGCACAAAGGCTGGCCACCCGGAGTCGGTCGGGTCAAAGAACTTCAGATGTTGGCCATGCGGATCCGTCCGCCGTGTCCCCACCAGGATCGCCTTGACAGATGGCGTATCTTTCAAGTAGTCGGCGAAGGCAGCCTTCATGGGTTTCGCGTATTCTAGCAAGGCGAGCCAATATATCTTGCTACTATGCGCGACGAACTCCTCGACCTCGGGAAAGGGATGTGCGTCCTGTATGTACACGCATTGTACGGCGGTTTCGATGCTGGACGAGGGATTTGGGGTCTGCGTAAGACCCCGCCTGTGCATGGCGCAGAGGTATAGTACAAGAAGAACTAAACAGTCTTTGCCGCCATTATACGATAAAGACAGCTCTGGTAGACTACGTAGCTGTCAGTCCCTAGCTTCCGCACGCCGCCTACATGGTCAGCACCAACCTGTACTTCTCCAGAGCCTCTCCTATGACCCTCAGCGAGGTTCGCGTCTGCTCCTGCACATTTTTGACGCGATCAGACACATCTGTCGCGTCGAGAAACGTGACTATGCGGTCATTGATGCGCGTGCACAGCTCGTCGAAGGGCAGCGGGGTATCGGAGACAAGGGGATCTGAAAATCCGGAGGCGGTATTCATTGCAACAAAAGTGCGCTAATCACGACATCAGATGCAGATGTAGGCGATTACGGTAGGGGTAGTGTCGACGATTGGCCGTACGGGGGTGCTGGTTCATGCCATGATGCGTGTGTCGGCCGTGCCAGGAGAGGCGAACAGGTGGAGGTAGCCGGTGTCTTATCGATAAGCGGAATGGATCCTCGGCACATCTCCATGCGGCAAGGCGGCGGCTGCCTCACCTGGCCACTCAGGCAGCGGACAGTAAGCATCGCAGCGGCCATCGGATGGGGCTCCACCACGAGATGCACCATGGGAGAAATTCGGTCTTGAGGCTCGCGTCGAGCTTTACAAGGCGATCTAGGCTGATTGATTACACCGAACGCGCATCTATGATGGTCTGATTCGCCGCTCTTCGGCCCTCGCCCCAGACCCTGACTTGCACTAAAGAATTGCGTGCTTTCGGCACGCGTTGTCATGACCTCTTAAAGGGAATTTTTCCACTGCCGTTGCCGCTGACTATGAGGACTGTCGCCGACGGTCCGAAGTATTACTACTGCTCGTCTCCCCCGTAGACATTTCCTTACTGTTACCGTCAACCCTGAATTCGCAGTCAATATGGGGTCTATCTCGACTGCAGGAGAGGCTGGTACGTCCCCGCAACCATTCGCCCCGCCAATGCCTTACCCCAACATGTTGCCATGGGAGAGTAGTGGGAGGCTGCAAATGCATATATACTGACCTGCATGCTGTATAGTGGCCCGAATCGCCCACCTGGCCTCCGACGTGATCGTATCGGTCGTCCCTTCCTTCACAACCGAGTCCGAGTTCTCTGAGCCTCTGCGGGGACTCCAGAAGCACAACGCGCCCAGCGTTGTTTGCAAGACACAACCAGAGGTGTGTTCGCATGCTCACTGCAACCGAAGGGCTCGTACTAACATGCTACTTAGATCCTCACTGTCCGCCAAAATGCCGACCCTCTGCTCTCCGTCTTCCAGCCCATCCGCTCGGGCAAGCTCACGAGCGTCACCACAACCTCGTCCATTCTCGTAAAGTCGATACCGCACCTTTACAAGCTCGCACAATATCCCGTCGTCCTCCACGTATCAGTGGCGCCTTTGGGCTTCCCTGACTTCTCCGACATCACCTCGATTAGACAGTCTGGATTCGCCTTCATCCAATCCGAGACACTACAGGAGTTGCAAGATCTTGCTCTCACTGCCCATGCTTTGGCCATCAAATCGGGCAAGGGTGTCATCCACTTCTTCGATTCGGGCGCGACCGCTTTCAAGAAGACTGTTGAGGTAGAGGATGCCGACCTGGTCCGAAGCGTCATTGACCTGGACGCGGTGGCGGCATACCAAAACACCAAGTCGGAGGAGACCACACTATACGCCGACGATGGCAGGAACCCGACACTGTCCTTCGCTCGGAGTCAGGCTGTCAATGCCGCTCCAGCAGTAGCGCCTGTCAGCCTTCCCGAGCATCCCAAGTCGCTTCCTGCATCGGAGAGGAACAGCCAACGCGCCGATTCTTCTTCTGGCTCGTCGCAGCGCGATGCTAGCACGAGCGGTGCGTCAGTGTCATCGGCAACCACAGTGGAGTCATTGATCTCCAAGCCCGTTTCCTCCGAGGATATCTACCGCTTCGCCACACAGATTTGGGGAACCATCCGTGATGCCACTGGACGAAGCTACGATGCCTTTGCTTTCTCCGGCACTGGTAACGAGGAGGCTGCCATTTTCCTCTTTGGTGCCGACACTGCTGTCTGGGCTACCGAGTTGGACAGCGTGGAGGAGACCAAGGCATACGCCAACACAGCCGTCATCACAGCCAGGCTATACCGTCCCTGGTTGGGTGCGTCCCTTGCCCCCTTGCTTCCCCGGTCGCTTAAGAGGATTGCGGTGCTGGAGCAAGTTCGACGAAAGACTACCCGATGGGGCCCTGTACTGCTCGACCTTCTGATGTCGCTCAAGTCGACCGGTGGCGCCTCTCCTACGGTTGTCGGATACCAACTTGGCTACATCAACGAGGACACTGTGTCGCAAGCAATGCGCGGCGTTTACCAGAACTTGATGAGCGAGACGCCTGTACAAAACCTCGTCATCGGCAACCTCGATGGACCGGAGCCCCAGGCTATCAAGGTCGAGCAACCAGGGTTAGAGAACGCCTACATGAAGATCCTGAACCAGGTCTTTGGTGAGAAGCTTCACATTGCTAACCAGCTTGGTTCGCAGCACGCCGGTATCTCCAACGAGATCTCCTCCACGCCAGAGTACGGATTCGGCTCGCTAGTAGCGCGCAAGGAACATCGTCAGCGATTCGTGGATGAGGCTGCGGCTGCTTCCAAGGAGAACGCTTTCACCACCCAAGCGCCCAGAGAGTGGCTGTCCAAGTGGGCACTGAACGCCGATGATACCGACAAGGCTAACGACCTGGCCTCTGAGGTCATCGCACGCTTGGGTACTGACGGCTCGCCCGCTGCCAGTCAGCTGTTGTCATCAAAGAAGCTGTTCTATAAGGAATCACCATGGCTGATTGGCTCTGACGCCTGGGCGTACGACCTGGGTAACTCTGGTGTACACCACGTCCTTGCCTCTGGCGAAAATGTCAACATGCTCATCGTCGACTCAACACCATACTCAGAGCGCGCAGCCGCCGACGCTGCGAGGCGGAAGAAGGACATTGGTCTGTACGCAATGAACTTCGGCAACGCTTACGTAGCATCGGTCGCTGTATACAGCTCCTACACCCAGGTTCTTGAGGCTATGATCGAGGCTGACAAATTCAACGGTCCGTCTGTCGTGCTTGCTTACCTGCCGTACGAGAAGGAAAACGACACGCCCCTGACTGTCTTGCAAGAGACCAAGAAGGCTGTTGACCTTGGTTACTGGCCATTGTACCGATGGGACCCACGCGCCGAGGAGAAGGGTGAAGAGAACTTCAAACTTGACTCGGAGCGAATCAAGAAGGAGTTGGAAGAGTTCCTGTCTCGTGACAACTACATGTCTCAGGTCATGAAGAGACATCCTGAGTTCTCATCCAACATCTCTGGATCCTACGGAACCGAAGTCAGGCAACTGCAAAAGCGCAAGGCCAAGGATGCTTACAGCAAGCTTCTTGAAGGACTCCAGGGTGACCCTATGACCATTCTCTTCGCTTCCGACAACGGTAACGCTGAGAACCTAGCCAAGCGTCTGGGGAATCGCGGCAAGGCTCGTGGTCTCAAGACTATGGTCATGGCTATGGACGACTTCCCACTCGAAGATTTGCCTAACGAGCAGAACGTCATCCTAATGACTAGTGTAGCTGGACAAGGAGAGTTCCCTCAGAATGGTCGCACGTTCTGGGAGACCGTCAAGGACTCTACGGATCTGGATCTTGCAACAGTCAACTTTGGTGTCTTCGGTCTCGGTGACAGTCACTATTGGCCACGCAAGGAGGACAAGATCTACTACAACAAGCCCGCAAAGGACCTACATGCTCGTCTGCTCACTCTCGGTGCTAAACCTTTGGCCGAGTGTGGTCTTGGAGATGACCAAGACCCAGACGCTTACCAGACTGCGTACTCTGAGTGGGAGCCAAAACTCTGGGAGAAGCTTGGTGTTGCCAACGTCGAGAATCTGCCTGAGGAACCGGCGCCGCTGACCAACGAGGATATGAAGGCCGCTTCAAACTTCCTCCGAGGAACCATTGAGGAGGGTTTGGCCGACACTAGCACTGGCGCCATCTCTGCAAGCGATCAACAGCTCACTAAGTTCCACGGAACCTACATGCAAGATGACCGTGACCTTCGCGACCAACGCAAGGCCCAGGGTCTCGAGCCAGCATACTCCTTCATGATTCGCTGCCGACTACCTGGTGGTGTCTCGACGCCGAAGCAATGGCTACAGATGGACGAGATCAGCACGAAGCTCGGTAACGAAACCATGAAGCTCACCACTCGCCAAACCTTCCAATTCCACGGCGTCGTGAAGGGTAAGCTCAAGCCGGCTATGCAGGCTATCAACAAAGCCTTGATGACCACTATCGCGGCTTGCGGTGATGTCAACCGAAACGTCATGTGCAGCTCTCTCCCAACTCAGTCGAAGTACCACGGCCAGGTTCAGAACATTGCACAGAAGATCAGCGATCACCTTCTTCCTTCCACCACCGCCTACCACGAAATTTGGCTAGAGGATGATGAGACAAAGGAGAAGCGCAAGATCGCCGGTGAAGCCGTCCAGGACCACGAGCCACTCTATGGCCCTCTCTACCTCCCGCGAAAGTTCAAGATCACCATTGCCATTCCACCTCATAACGACACCGATGTTTACGCTCACGACATCGGTCTCATTGCCATTAAGGGTGAGGACGACAACCTCGTAGGTTTCAATCTACTTGCTGGTGGCGGTATGGGTGTGACGCACAACAACAAGAAGACCTACCCGCGAACTGGAAGCATGTTCGGCTACGTCGCAGCCGATCAAGTACACCTTGCTTGCGAGAAGATCATGCTCGTTCAACGTGACCACGGTGACCGCAAGAACAGGAAGCACGCCCGTCTCAAGTACACCATTGACGACATGGGTATCGATGTTTTCAAGGGAAAGGTCGAAGAGCTCTGGGGACAGAAGTTCGACGAGCCCAGACCTTTCAAGTTCCAAAGCAACATCGACACCTTTGGCTGGCAGAAGGACGAGACTGGTCTCAACCACTTCACTTTCTTCATTGAAAACGGCCGCATTGAAGACACTGCTGACTTCCCAATGAAGACTGGCCTGATCGAGGTGGCGAAGGTACACAAGGGCGAGTTCAGGTTGACTGGTAACCAGCACTTGATCTTGGCCAACGTCGCCGACGAAGACCTGCCTGCTATGAAGGAGCTACTCAAGAAGTGGAAGCTTGACAACACCAACTTCTCTGCAATGAGGTTGTCCAGTTCTGCCTGTGTTGCCTTCCCCACTTGCGGTCTTGCTATGGCCGAGTCTGAGCGCTACCTACCTGAGCTGATCTCCAAGCTCGAGGGTACGCTCGAAGAATCTGGGCTACGACAAGACAGCATCGTCATGCGCATGACTGGTTGCCCCAACGGTTGCGCACGTCCATGGCTTGCTGAGATTGCTTTCGTCGGCAAGGCTTATGGCGCATACAACATGTACCTTGGTGGTGGCTACCACGGTCAAAGGCTGAACAAGCTTTACAGGAGCTCGATCAAGGAAGAAGAGATCCTTGAGATCCTGCAGCCTATGATCAAGCAGTACGCTAAGGAGAGGAACGAGGGTGAGCACTTCGGTGACTTCGTCATCAGGAAGGGCTACATCAACGAGACCACTCATGGAACAAACTTCCACGACAACGTAAGTTCCAAGGAATCAGACCATTCATGAGATGCATTGCTAACACCCTCATAGACTGCGGAAATGGAGTCAGATGGCGAGTAAGCCTATCAGCTCAGTGTGAAGTTGGAGGTCTTGATGGATTTCGTTGCATCTCGTCGTTCTTATGAAAATTCATGAACATTCTCTGGCGTTATATGGAGAGGTCTAAGCGGTTGGGAAACGTCTTGTCTATACTTTATGACTTATCGCATGATCAAGAGGAATGAATGATACCATAGCATATTCAATGCTTCTGTTCGTAGCTTTAACTTCCGTTGGCTTTCGATCTGATGTTTGATCTTGCGATGATTTCTGACCCGCCGCCTAGGACGAAAACAGCTGACTTGAGTGCGAGCCTTCCCTCCTTACGGGCTCAGCCTCTCAATCTTCCACTCTGTCCCCTTCATCTTCTCGGTGTTGTCCTCTCCGCCAACCTTCCGGTAAACAAAACGATCATGTAGTCGACTTGGCCGTCCCTGCCAAAACTCCACCATATCCGGCACAATTCTCAGCCCGCCCCAGAACTCCGGCACGGGAATCTTATCCTTACCATCGAACCTCTTCTCCACATCCTCTACTCTCTTCTCTAGCTGCTCCCTACTCTCAATCACACTACTCTGCTGACTTGCCCACGCGCCAATCCTTGAACCGCGAATCCTCGTATCGTAATAAACCTGCGACTCCTCGTTCGTAAGCCGCTCTACCGTTCCTTCGACACGAATTTGACGCTCCAGTTCGCGCCAGTGGAAAGTCAATGCTGCATGAGGATTGCTTCGTATGTCGCTAGCCTTGCGACTTGTATCGAAGTTTGAGTAGATGACAAAGCCGCGCTCGTCTAGCTCTTTCATATAGAGCGTGCGTGCTGACACTCTTCCGCTGGGTAGTTCTGCGGTAGACAAGACGACGGTCTCAGGCTGGTATACGTTGTTGGCTTGCGCTTCCTCGAACCACTTGTGGAACTGGTCGGTTGGCGAGGGAAGGAGGTCCTCGCGGTCTAGTGCGCCTTTGTTGTACTGAGTTGCATGGCCAGGGTCTTCGGAGTTGCTTGTTGGTGCGAAGATTTTCTTCGCTGACTCGGTGGCTGAGTGCAGCATGCTTTTTGGTCGTCGTGGAGGATGTTGTGCAAAGAAGGGTGACGCTAAGTAGCGTATGGAACTCGTAGCTGGGACGGTTCTCGAATATCTGTTGAGGATGCTTGTACACCTGGATGCGAGCATTGGTCACTTCAAGCTGTGGTAGAGGTTTGATACGTTGACTCACTTCGTGGCGTGATCTGAGCGATGCCGTGCTCGGAATGAGTCCTCTCACGATCGGAACGAAGTGGGGTGACGTAACTAGATGCTAGCGCGGTTATCGACCAGCCACCCCATCGCGTACGACTTGGGCCATGACGCGAACCTCACGCGGTTACTGCCACCTAGCAAAAGGGATGAAACATCGTAGCTCTTGTGCATTAATGTCATTATCACGACAACGCGACTTCCTCCCAAAATTGCCGCCCTGAAGAATTTGAGGCTTTCCTATTCTAGAACGCGCTAGTTCCATCATACCTGCCCAAACATCAACGCGTCCGAAAAGTATCAAACAGCCGTTTTCTAATCAACCATCAATCTCAAACAGTCCTCCTGTTCATCCAGGTCGTACCTCACACTCGTCTTAACCTTCTTATCTCCTTTGTAATGTGCCCTTTCTCTCAGCAGCCGTTGTGTCTCGTTGTCGAACCCATACGTCAGCGTGGGAAGCGCGCCCTCCTTCCATACTGGTATTCTCAGTCGCGCAGATTCTGTTATAACGAGGATCACGTATATGATTCCTATCGAGAGCATTGCGACCGGAAAAGCCATGTATGCCCAGTCGACACGCACGTGCGTGACCCAGCGTTGTGTGACGCCTTCGAATCGATTAGGAGAGGTGTTTCGGATCTGATTCGTGAGACTACGAGCCACATTTTCGAATGTTGTGGTTAGATTTGTGGAGTTCCATAACGCGTCCACGAAAGCCGGTGCGTCTTCATCCGGAAAGGCGATCAAAGAGGGCGGTGGCTTACCACTGGGCTTTGCAGCATAGCTCGTGAAGACGTGGAGATAGTCGATGGTACTTCGAAGAAGCGCGTGAGATATGTTCACCTCTTGTGCCGCCATTGGAGAGAAGCCCCCAGCCTGTTCAGAAGGAATGAGAAGCCGAAGGTCATGTCTCGGAAAATCTATCGTAGGATTGTACAGGTCGTATCCGGTGTTATCCACGTATCTTTCATCTTCCGAATCCAGAGACCCGATGGTCTCGTATATCTTGTGGGAGTCGGGGTCTCGAACAGCCCAAGATCCGATGACGTGCTCTTCGAGCATACCATTCTTACTACTGGCTTGGTAGATGTTCGAACAGAAGTACAACGCACATTCTGTTGCAACAGGATGTGACGATTCCCATGGCACTTTCGATTTGACCCAGTCATCAGGAGCTTTGATGATTTTGAAGCTCATCATCAAAGTTTGCACATCAGAATGTTTCAGGGTCTGGCGTGCAGTAGACCCTGTCTTCACTGTCATGAACGTTAGGGGGGTCCCTGATGCAGCGCCCGTAGTATACGTGTACCAATCGTCGTCGTCCATATTGGACAGACCGTTCCAGTTCCTGATCTCAGTCTCTGGTAGTGAGAACACAGAGTACGGTCTGAATGTAGATATGTGAAGTCAGTGTGTGTCTGATGTCCATTTCGTACGACGACACTCACCCATTCGGCAGCCTGTAGATAGCGGCTGGAACATTCGACCCGTTCGTGCCGTTCAACGCTTGCGACCCGTTAAATACGAGCGCGTCAGAGATATCCTTGCATGAACTGCATACAGCAGCCGAAACAAATGCTGGCCAGGTACAATTACCCGTAGAGCAAGTAAAGGCGACATTGTTGGGGGCGTTTGTGGAGGCATTATAGAATCCTCCATTGACAGAGCTGACGATTCCAAAGTCTGGCCGACTCTTGGTAGATGTGTACTGCAATATACCAGACGGTGTTTTGATTGCCCCTAAGGCTCCGCCTTGATTCTCGATTATGTATCCACCGTCAACCCTCAAAGCTCGGCCGATGGTAGCGTTAGAAGTTGGCCCGATGTCGACAGCGATTGAGCCCATTGCTATATCATCGATCTTCCCGTAGGTAGAGATGACCGCCTGGAAAAAGGGATCAAATGCGACCGTGCCTAAGAGAATGAGCTGTGTTAGCCTGATTCTAACGTTATTTACAGAACTCGAGGTTGGTAAGTGTATCAAGGAGTTACAATGAAGTGCTGTGAGCTAGCTATCGAGGATGAAATAGGTCGACCATCCATGACATACCTACGGTGACTAGAGCACCAAGAGCTGCCCAGTGTCTGCAATTGCATCAGTTTTGGTAGTGCGTTTCGATGCTCAGGAGTCTTTACCTGAAACGCAACCAAAGGAAAAGACGAGACCCGCCCCAGGGCCCACGGCTCGCTTCGTCGAACCTCTCAAATGCAAGTACAGAGTCTGACCTTCTGCGCAACCAGCTCCATTTCTGCTGCCCGACGCAGGCACTCATAGCAAACGCTAGAGTAGTTCTTGCTACCGTACCGAGAAGGGCCACCATTGTGTTGAGCGTAAAGATGAATGTCCAGGCCGTGACCGGCTTGTTGTCTTGGCCAATGAGAATAATGACTATCGCGGCGATTGATGCGAGTGAGGCGATCAATGCGAAAATCTCGAAAATCCATGAGAGCATAGTTTTGCGAAGTCGAGAAGGCGTTTTGCATGCTTTCTCGAGATTCGCAGCATCCGAGCTGTGAATCGAGACTGCAGTTGCTCGCTCGGTGGCAGGGTCGTTACTGAGATGACTTGTAGAGTTGGAGTGTACCAGAGGCTCTTCAGAAGCATCCACATCGTCTGCGAAGCTATAGGTTGCTGCTTGGAATGACATAGGTCGTCGCGAAGAGGCGAGCCGTCCTGTAGAAGTTGCAGACGACGGACCAAATTCGGGGGATATCGATCTTCCGCCGTTCATCTTGGAGTTTGTGTATAGAGACTTAGTACATAGAGAGTGAGAAAGGTGAATTGCATCCAGACAATTTTGGAGGGAAGGCTGCTACAAATGGCTGAATGAGCTGAAACTACAATAACGTAGAAAGCGCTCCAGGTCTAGTCAGCCACACCCATGGAGCCCTTGATGAGAGATTCTTGTTGGACCACCGGTGGTGCCAACCTTAGCTGTGTGACCTCACAATATGCACGAACGGCAAGGGCAACTTCTGGCCCCATTATCTACATCCTTCCAGTGCGTTGTAATGTGCACTCACTAAAAAGCTGACGGAACCGGACTTGCGCATTATGTGTATCTACAGTAGAAGAAATGAATTCGATGAGCGCTTGTCGCAAACATGGCTTTGGACTGATAGGCACGTATGCTGGAAGGGAAACAGTCGGGACAACATAAGCACGCTTTCCCGCGGGGCTTGCACTGCCACGCCGCCCCCTTTTTCGTACTCCCCTCACGGCGCTGCGCCAATATATAAATAAGGTCGAACATGATCGCAATTGCCACGATGTGCGTCGGCGACCAAGTAAGAGCTTTCCAAGAAAACACAGTGCGGATATGTACGTGATCCCACCTGTCTGAAGCCATGAGGAAAGTTTCAGGCGCTATAGATAGCAACACGCGTACAACATTGGGGCCAATTCGAAGAAACTTATATTAATAGTTGCCTGGATAGTGAGGTAGTCACACAAAAAAGCAAGAGAAATTCCATCGGTCAGCGATTGCTTGATCACGGCAGGCCGGGTGTTGATGTGATGGCAATGGCCTGCGAGTGATGTTTCCAAGGTTGGGTTGGGGGCCATCCTCGCGGGAAATCGGAAGAGAGGCCAAGGAAAGCCCCCACTGGGGCCCCACCCGGCCGACCCGTCGGCTTCCCGCCTTTCATACACCTACCCAGCGATAACCACGATGCGCGACCCAACTTCCTACCAGTACGATCTGGGTTCTTACCATCGCAAGATTAGCACTTCCAGCCCAAATTCGCAAACATGGTTCGATCGCGGTTTGGTCTGGTGCT